CATACTATTTTGATAAATTTGTGTACTTTCCTAAGAAAATCAAGAGGATTTTTTTGAGTTTTACACTCTCGAGTTCTTACTTGTGGCCTTGAAAGTTGTATAATAATCACAGCCCAGGGTGGGACAACATTGATATATACAACTTGCATGTTTATATGTATTATTGTACTTAGATTATGCACCTGTTTTCACTGATTTTAATATACTTATCATGCTTTTGTCATCTTTCTGTGACAAATAGTTATTACTTTAGTTTGACATTGAAAAAGCAACTACTATGGCTTATATTAGGCTTACAAGGGATATCTAATGCAGTTGTCAAAATTTCAACAGTTGCAAAGGATTTTTAATTTAACTCAAAGGAAGGTTAAACACAAGCACATATCCTACAATAAAAACATGATCTTTTAACACTATTGAGACTATGTATTTCTATAGCCTTGGCATTGCTGGATCCCTTCCATTGGGTGTCAAGTTTATGTCTACTCAGAACTACAAATGAAAGTGTATGACTGTAGTCTCTTAAGAACTTTTACATACCATCAGCTGTAGTCGCTTGTTGGTGAGGTTGTAACATGTTTTGGAATTCTGTGAGTTCATTGTGTCGGATGATGCGGTCCAGGTGCATCTTCTCCAGGATGTGGTAGCAAGGTAGCTGCTGGCATCTCTCATCCTTGAAAAGCGTGCCCAGCATTCTTGAACGCTGCTGTCCTATTTTAAGTATAAAAAAAGGCTATATTGATTGTTGCTTTTATATATATGTACTCTTGATTTCTTGCAGATAAAAATCAATTTCAACATATGAATTCTACATAAATATTTAACCTGAAGTTGGTAATCATACCTGCTGATGCCAGCACTGTGCATATTAAAGCCTTTTTGAGTGCCTCCATACGCTCATCCTCATGTATAATTGGCCTATATGAAAGTTCATTATAACGCTGGGCAGCTTCTATAAATTTGCGACGATAATCCAACACACGTGCATAACAAACTTTGTAATAAATTTGTAGTTGCTCACTCTTAGACTCTGCCTGAAATGACATTAAAGTAGTAATAAGGAAAAGGTTGATGCTATATTTTCAGTTATCTCAAGAAAAATCTTTAAATGTGTATCCTAGCAAACAAGAAATTTTACAGATATTCAAAGCAACAAAGTAAACTATGAATAAAAATCAGAAAAAGTTATTACCTGCAAAATACTAGCACGATTAATGTAAGCTTCTCCTTGTACTGGGTCATCATCTTCAAGATATAAACGAGCAATCTTGAGGTATGTCTCAAGTTTATAATCAACGCTATACTGTCTGAAATATTAAAATAATATATGACTTTAATTATCACTAATAAAATGTGTCAATTCACAAAAGAAGAAAAAATTTATGGTATTAAGTGCAGAGGAAACCCACATGGCCTATGGTCTGCTGTTTCATTCACATAAATAGCAAACCACAGGGGCTTATGCAATACTTATTAGGAAAAGTTTTGCTGCATTTACTTACTTTTGCCCAGTTTCCAGTGGAATGCCAGTAAGAACGGCAGCAGCATCCCTCCATGAGCTTTCACGTTCATAAATGTCTGCCAAGTGCTGCCTGATACTGGCTACTTGCTCCTCAAAACTAATGACTCGAGGTTGTACCTATGGAAGTTTCACAGCTAATTTTAAAAGCAATAATGGATGAAGTGTCATCATGCTTGACCATAATAATTAACCTGGAAATCATTCTTTTGATCAATATATATATTGTAAACTGTATTATCATATCAAATGCATCTTCAAAATTTAAAACTCACTTTATCAAGCGTAAAATGTGCGACAGTCTTGGCAACATGATCTGCCATTGAGGTAAGGTGAGTAGACACATCTGAGAGCAGTTGTCGTGATATTACCAAGCTCACTGTCTCTTTCACAACTGTAAAAAAAAGGAATGTACTTTAGTAACTGTCAAAGATCTTTAAGAATCACAGGCAAGCATTTTTGTAGTTCATTTTTCTTATATTTCCAAATTAAAGTCTAATAAATAAATAGCTTTATGGGTCTTGCTACCTCTTTTAACAAAATGTAATCTCTGACTTTGATATCTCAAAAAATTAGCACACAAAGTACTGTAAGAAATCTTACACTTCTCTGTTTGCAGAGATTTAATGTGAATATTTATTCATTGTGAATAGAAAGTAAATTCTGCATAATTTGAATACTACTACTACTAATAATAATAACAACAACCATGATAATGATAATAATAATGATGATGATAATAATAATAATAATAATAATAATAATAATAATAATAACAATAATAATAATAATGATAATAATAACAATAACAATAATAATAATAATAATAATAATAATAATAATAATAATAATAATAACAACAACAATAATAATAGAAACCTTCCCTCTTGCCACTTACTTGCTTCAATGAATGCCTGAAGGCCCTCTGCCATATCATTTTCATTGCCAACTTTGAGAATGTTGTCCAGCACTGCCCGATACCTGTTTATAGAAGGGAGTCATCTTAGAATTTGAATAGAATGGCACTTTTTCCCTAACAGGACAAATAGCCATGTGGTCTAATTTGATACTTATCAATACTAAGTACACAAACCTTACAAACTCATGGCAGTCTCAGTAAAATATTTCAACACTATAAAATACTACAAAAAAAAAAAAAAAAAAAAAAAGATTCTTGTAACACTCATATACACTTATAACCAAAGTGATCTGTAATGGACAGATAACAATGAAAATATGGTGTTTTAACTGGGTGGAGTATAAAGATTATTTCTAATGCATTTAGTAACAATCATACAATACCTAGAGTATTTACAAAATAAACTACAAGCCCCCAAGGCTATCCCAATAGATGATGGGATGGTTTCATACTAGTAAAAAATTCTACTGACTAGTTCACATGGATAGTCTGCATTTGACACATATTAGCCAAGCACAAACACCTCATGTCATGTAAGCAAAGCAAATTTTGAAATCCTAAATGTAAACCAATCAAAAGTAGCATAAACCAGATATGATAGACAAAGAAACACCAATAACCCCAACAGCATACCAAAAACAATATGAAACCCTTGTGGCAAATGATGCTAGCTGGGAATCAAGGAATACTTTAAAAATTTATTATAAACCTTTTAGAAGAAAAAAAAAAAAAAAAAAATTGCATTATTAGGTATTTTTATCTGGTGTGAATGATATTGAAGTTCTATAGCCTTTTAAAGTATTAGTAAGTGTACACTGCTCTCCTACCACATAAGGGGTGCTACAAACAAACCAGTTACCTTGTATTCCACATAACATCAGACCTTTTTCTGGAATTTCCATAATGACTGTGATGAGATTCCAAAGCATTTAGTCCATCAATCAAAAAAAAGTGAAACGAAGGTGTATCTACATTTGATAAGGGTCAAAACAGCTACAATATCTATGTCAATATAATCTTATAAGTTATGCCTATTAAATCCTAAAATCCTGATGCTGTAATCATCAGACCATGAAAAATTTTGCTTAAGGGGTGGGTAATGTGAACATGTCAGGAGAATTTCAGCTGAAGGATAAAAATGACTTGCTACGAATGCACAAAGATCTTGGAGAGTGATTAAGACTCTATGGGCATCTTGGAAGGGGCTCTCGCATCATTTCCATCAATAATCGTGTGTGGAATGTACCATCCGTGAGCCATGAATGGTTAAGCGCTGGCTCCAGGAAGGAAGCTATTTCTGTACTCAGGATCCTACTCCTGCCGACTGTGACCGTAATACAGAAGAAGAAGAAGAAGAAGAAGAAGAAGAAGAAGAAGAAGAAGGAGAAGGAGAAGAAGAAGAAGAAGAAGAAAAAATATATATATATATAATATATATATATATATATATAAATATATATATATATATATAATAAAAAAAAAAACACACAAACAACAGGATGTTACTTATTGTTATTATTGCCCTACCTATTGGACTACCTTCAGAAATGATACACCTCTGTATGTGCAATGAAATCAGCCTATTAACATTTGGATAAAGCATATCAATTGACAAATAGTGCTATTGGAACATGGTAAAAAGCTAAAATGTTTATGCAGTAAAAGAGATAATAACATTCCAAGGGAGGCAAGGAGTCTTAACTGGACCATGAGTGCTTGTCTGCCCCTGGCCTAAAAGCCACACACTCATATGAGTGGCTACTCAATTAAGCCTAATGCCTGGATTTTGCGCCACATGTGGGCAACAAAGCACCCGGATCCAAAAGGTTAATGTTTAACAAATTTACAATATGACTTGGTGTTCAAATAAACTCCTAAATAGTGTGCTTGGAGCTGAAGTTCTTTGTCAAAGTTAAATTGCAAGAGTAGGTATGTTTTTTAACATCTTTTGATGCATTTAGATAACTAATTTCATGGTATACCACATAGATACCAAAATCAGTAGATGCTGAAGTCCCCTTTATAAAATGGCATAGTATCTTCACATAACCTAAATACTGCATACATCATTCCAATAGTATATTACTTATAATACCTAATTTAGATGTAAATGATATATGAATAGCTGTTATACTGCATTGTTCAAGGAATAATGGCATACTCAGTACATACACAATCATCATAGGCCAAGCTAAATAGACTGGCAGCCAAGGGAGGTTTGGTTGAACGAATTTGGTACCAATTGCTGAGTAAAGGATCATGTAGAGAATGATAGGGCATATGAAGAACTGGATGTCTGCCGGGGACCCCCTGCTGCGTTTGGCCCCTGGGGACCCCAAAAAGGGGTAAACAAATCAGCTAGATCAAAATAGAGAGGAATCACACACAATGTATTTCAGGGTAATTTACATATCACACTGGGTAAAAATGGCTCATGCCAGACATAATCTCTGCTGCATTAGGCCTGCCTGACGCCCAAAAAGGGCCTAAAAATTTGGGCTGGATCAAACATTATTGCCTACCACCTGAAATAAAGTATATATAGTTCAACACATCTAAGAGAGTACAGAATGGACAATGCCAGACAAATTACCTGCTGCATTATGCCCGCCAGACATGCCCAAAGTGACCCACCCCTCTGCTCTGGCAAAACTGACGTAGATGAAACATGAAGGTACTGAATGAAACTACTTTTGAATGAAAGGTAACATTCCACAAGTACAAAGTGACCCTTCCCAGACATACTTGCCAGCTGCATTAAGTCTGCCAGACCGCCCAAAAAAGGGCCTAAAAATTTGGCTGGATCAAACATTATTGGTACCACCTGAAATAAAGTTTATATACTTCAACACATCTGAGCGAGTACAGGATGGACAATACTAGACAAATGTTCGTTTTGTGTGCATCCATTCTAGGTTATCTTAAAACTATACAGTGGCAACAAAGAAAAAAAGACCTTAATAACTAGTGCAGTTTAATATCTGAGGCCATCAATTACCCCTAATCCCCCAAAATTGATAAAAACAAGTGATCCACAAGAGACTGACAAACGGACCAAAAGAAGCGAAGGAAAATTGACAGTTTGGTCTTTCGATATATGTAGGTATTTGGTTTATCATTTAAGTATGGATGTAGCTCTATCTTGCTGTACATACCGAGTGAAGAGAATGTATTCCGGGGGTTGTTGGGCCCTCCCTACGGCACCATAAATTGATAGTTTAGGTTGGGTTATGGTCAGGAACATTTTTTTGGGGGTTTGGAAGGTGTGAAACCCTTAGATTCTTGTAGGGTTTTTCAAATATTGGCACATTGGTGTGTAGATTTTCAAAGATGGTGGGCATGTCTAATAGAGTTTCAATAGCCGATTTTTAGCGTTTTTTGTGCTGGTTTTACTGATTTCTATTCCCTATTATTCTTATTTAGCCTGTTTTACCCCATAATTTCCTGATATACTTCATGCCCTTTTGCTATCAGGGCTTAACACATCAAGATTGTTGGTGTGATTACTAACAAAATGATCATCAATTCATTCTTGTCAAACGAGAATAAATCTGATGATATAAATATTGTCTGGGAATCCTGATTGTCATAAAAAAAAAAAACCAAAAAGTTATAGCAATAACTTTGGCAGCTTACATGTCTATTAGCCCTCTAGCAAGAAGCTGACAAACCTCCCCTGCTATAATCTGGCAAGACAAAGTTGGTAGATATGCTGGTTACTTACATTCAAGTAAGAACCAGTCTAAGCTCCAGCTTGCAAGAATTTATGTGGTTAAAGGTTTGCTGTCCTTTGCTGGAGAACTGCAGAAGCAGAGGCCTGTGGCAGTCTCTCCGAGTTATATGACATGGTAGCTATAGGTTAACCTTCTACAAGCTTTCTTGAATATTAACCCTTTGAAACTAAGTTACAGGGACGTCTCGTCATGAAAAAAATACCTAAGAGGCAGCTACAGAACTATTTATCAAGTAAAAACAGAACTAGAGCCAAAAGAAATAACAGACAAAATAAGACCATTGCTTAGGACACGATAACGAAATAGTGAAAGTGATCAGAATACAAATTAACCATTGACAAACAGAGCACAAAAAAATGGTTACCAATAAAATATCTAAGGATAACCTTAAAGGCCCCTTCCTTGAAAGAGTTGCCACTGTCACATGATACATAGTGCAACAGTATACATTCCCTATACCTAAATGCTTTCGTTGTCTGAGACATGGTCATGGAATAATGACATGCAAAATAAAAAGATGTAGCAGGTGCAGTGATTTCAGTCATGATTATAAACACTGCACAAATAACCCATATTACTTCTTCTGTGACGAGAACCATTCACAAACACGAATGACTGTAAAATACATAAAAAGGCACAAACAAAATACAATGCCTAACAACCTTGATATCAAGACAGTTTCAGGAATTGAAACCCTTCTTAAAAGCAATAACAACCTCTCAAACAAAATCAGGCTTCTCCAAACAACCTCAAAACCCAACATAAGAACATCCATAAATTAAGAAAATGTAAAGAAACCACTACAATCACAACAGAAAATGCATCAAATCAAACATATGCACAGGCCCTAAACCTAGCTCAATGTCTAACAACAGGACAGAGAACACCAACTCTGTCCTGATTTATGTATAAAACTCCCATATCCAAAGAAGGAACTCAAAAAAGTGAAGATTAATCAATTCAGACTAATTCAAGCAAAGATGATTCAAAACAAATAGATATAGAAGATTCCCAATAGCTTGGAGCCTAACAACCAGTAAGGACATGGAAACACAGAAAGAAGCACAAACTAAAAACAAGGAATTCTCTTGGATAGAACTAATCAAGATTACAAGGACCACAATAACAAATACCATAAATATGGATACAGAGAAAACAATCATAGAAGTAATAATAGATGCAGTAAAAGAATTTCCACCAATATTTTAAAAGTTCATATAATTTCTAAATGAATAAATTAACTTTAGGGAATGCAAGATCAGTCATAAACAAAAACATAGAACTAATGCATATAATAGATAAAGAACAACAATAGTTAAAAAACAGAT